GGTGGTCTTTTTTTTTTTTCTGCTGTCTCTAGTTCAGCTGAGGATGGATATAGAATTAGTTAAAATGTTAATGTTTAGAAGCCAAGAATTCTTAAGCTCTTGAAAGATACTGCAGCACTGAGTTGGTCTAAAGAATTTAATTTAAAATGTGTGTGTGTGAAAAATACGTATCTAGATAATACTTCTGATAAATTGTGTAGGATTTTAAAACTCTCTTTAAATCTRATTTTTCAGGACTCTCTTCACCGAGCTCAGGATTGTTGTTGAACACTTAATCATGAAGCCCTCATGCCCTGTTTTTGTAAGAAGACTATGCCTCAGCAGCATTTCCTTTATAAGCAGATTGGCACCAACTGTTGCATAGCCAAAATCAGGCACTCGTGTTTTGTGAACATTATGAGCAGCTGGCACTTCTGCTGATGATTGGAAATTCCTGGTTTTACACTGATCTCACTCCAGGCTGTATAAAAATACATATATGCTTTCTTGGAGATAATATGAAATTTAGCATATCAAAAAAATAATAGAAACTTAAAATTACTGTGCTGTATTGTTAATTGATGAAAAAAGTAGTTGCATCCTACCTAAAACATGCCCAATCATACAAGTTTGTTGTTTTGTTTTGTTTTTTAAATCAAGGATTGTTTGAGATTGTTTGAAGCTTATTACAAGAGATCTGTGTTCACTAGGTTTATGTTCGTTGGAACTATAGCTACTTTAGGATGTCTCCAGTGGATAGCAGTTGATAYACATACCTATGCAGTACACTTTGGACAGTATTCTTCTGCCTACTAAATGTATCTGTAGACCTATTTTGTCCAATTGACTATACTCAGTGTAGAAATACGGCCCACGTTGAAGTTAACACAAGGGATTAAAATCTATCAAGGTGACATAGGTAACACTTTTTCTGAAGGAGAGGTTGTTTTTGTTAATACTTTAAAAGAGCTTTTCCAAGTTTCTACCTAGTAACATAGTCTTACATTATACTGTTGGAAGAAATACCAAGACTCTGATCACAGAAAACTTGGCGGTTTTCTTGTCACGAGTTGTTTTATCAAGCTAAGCTGCTGACCTGTAGGATTTTCAGACAAAGATGCAATGCTTAAACTTCTAACCATGTCTCAAATTAACTAATCAATGTAAATGAAGTGACTTTTGCAGAGTCATTGCAGATTTGTTCTTGTGTCCACACAAATGTGAGACTGCAGTAATTTAAGCATGTTAGCTTTCTAAAAAATTAATCTGTATCTAGTTCTATATAAATGGTTATTGCAGTTTCTGAGACTCCCTTTGTGATGGGAAATTTGCATAAAGAATTGCACCTGTTTCGGCAGCTCCTGAAACAAATTGGTGTAGGATTTCTTGGCATAAATCAATCTGATGACTGATCTGAAGCCAGTGTCATGACTACAGAAGTGAATATTAAATGAAGTGCATAAATTAATTAATAATGTGCATAAAATAATAAATAAATTGATTATGCATTCAACCAGCAGATGAAGGGTAGGTTGTGGAAAAAGAGTATCTGTCTGATCACAATTTCTTTGCAGAAATCCAAGGCAAAGTATTTGCTGAATCTTCTGTAGTTAGTATTCCAATTGCATAAAGCTGGCTTTTGTTAACCTTTTGTAACCTTCTGTAGCACTGAACTAACTATTCTTCCATGGTCAAAGAAACCTTATGTGAAACTTTCAGAAACAGTTTTGAAGCCAAGTATTTTCCTGTAACTATTGAGTTATCTTGTTTGTGGTGTGGATATYATTCAGACTTTCTAGTTGTATCAGTTTTTAGATCAGAGCCATGTATTTATAAATTTATTTCATTTTTTTGCTCAACCTCTTGGTACTGGTGAACCAGTTGGTAATTGAATATGATATTCTTTGACTACTTGTCTTGCTCTCTGAACATGATTAGCTACTTATAGAATACTTGCACTCTGCAGAAGCAACTGCATGCAGTTAATGCTCTACAGCTGCTAAAGACTTGCAATGAGATTGATTATATGTATATCCTGTAATTTGAGGATTTTATAAAAACTAAAATTTCTACTGCAATAAAAGGAGTGTTAAATGTAACTTGCTAGGCTCTTCAGGCTCATTTTCTCTCTAATGCAAGTTATTGATGCTTGAACCTGGAAGTTGAGCAGAATGCTGTCCTGTGTGTATGTGTGCATGTTCTTATATTCCCACTGCTGCTTCTGAATTAGGACATAATGACTTGTGCATTTCTGAATTATTTTATAGGGAATTTTTGCCATTTAAAGTGCAAAARTTTATGACCCTTCAAAATCTAATCCAAGAGTAAGCACTTCAATAATAGTATCTAATCAGAGAAAAAAAAATCCATACCTACTTATTACTGTTTCAGTTCCTCAGCATGATTCTAGACCCTCTGTCATGTTGCACAATGTATTTTTTGAATAGTGGTATCAGACTCTATTCAGCTGTTTGCACCACTGATGTAAAAATGAATTTGGTCATCTAAGYTGATCACCCGCACTGGAAGTGGAAGGCAAATCTGTAATTACTGTAAGCAAAATAACATGTTACTTCTGAGCAAATTTTTGTGGTCTGACTGCTGTTACGGATACATTCTACTGTTCCTTAATTGTATGTTATTAAATTAGAGATGAGTCTAAACTGGATCCAGTGTATTGCAGCTGTAACTGAAGGATGCTAAGTACAGATCCAACTCAATGAATGCATGAGAAGGATTAAAAGTAGTAAGAGAATGACAGTGCAGTGAGTAAAGTGTTGGAAGACAGTGCCATGAAGTTCTAACTTATGTGTGGATACTGAAGTTCTAACTTATGTGTGGATTATCTTTTTTTATTAAGTCTTAAAAATGGACCAAGAGGCGGAAATTGCATTAGTGGGATTTGATTTGGCCAGGAGTATATTCTTGGCTTTGCAAGAAGTTGCTTGACAAGTGAGCAGCTTGTGGTCTGGTAAAACTTACTTCTCTTGATGTGCTGAGAAAACGYGGAACAATGTTGTAAGAATAATATTCAAGTCACATAAATAGGGTAACTGACCTGTGCATCAACTTTGATTTTTACTGTAGCATTTTGGCTGCCTAAGTGATRACACCGAGTTTCTTCAATGCTGGGGAAAACATTCTATCCTTGAGCCTGCTTTCTCACCACACTTTGTGGCTTGTTTCTATTCTAATGATTAAATTAAACATAAAATGCTGGTTGTATTCTAATAGCTTGACTTTTTTTGTGAAGAGAGCTGTATGTTTGTGCTGCTATGCTGTCAACAGTTAGCTGTGATGCAGAGGCTGTGACAGAAGTCTGTGATTGTAGAGAAATTTTGCAACTGACCATAAAGTGCCTGCCAACCCCAAACTGAAGCAGAAGAGTTTTTGTATTACCAAAAGGTTAYCTACCTAATGTGATAACTGTTTCCACTGGTATAAATCACACTGCTCRTGGCTTTTTGTCAGCTTTTATAACTTACGTGTGTTGCATAGATTCTGTGGGTGGACTGACCCTTTGCTTTGTACAAGCTTTCTGTAGAAGTGATGCTCCAGTATAACGCTTGTCTGTTTTCATCTGTAGATAAAGTATCAGAAGCCATTGAGTCTGCTGGAGTAGCTAATGCCAGTTGCAATTTCTTACAAACAAAGTAGCTCACCAATACACCCATCCTCTCCTTTATTGCCTTTTATTTAATTTTATGCAKTCATTGTCATTTCTCTGCTGTAAGTTTTACATTTTGCTCCCTTCTTTGATAGGTGTTTAAGTGGAACAATATCTGTTAATGTTTTAAGGATTTAAATAAAAATTACCTTAATTATGAACCACTATTTTTTCCAACAGTTTTTGAACTGCTAACTATGTATGTGATAGTACTGTCCAAACCTTTAACGTAGTCAATTATTTTGTACTGTCTGTGTTGGACCATTTTATCGTTGGGCACCGTATTGCAACATTTGCTGTACAGATCTCATGTTAATTAAGGAAGCATACTTCTTACCCATTTTACAGACAGGAATGTAGACATGGAAGGAAAGAGCACTTGCCTGAGTAGATGTAAGAGTTCTGGCAGAGCAGGAAATAGAAAAAATGGAGTTGGACAAGTGCCCAGAGGAAACTGATTTGTTTYTATTCCACATATGACTTGCTAGTCTTGCTCCTAAAATTATACTAACTGGGCTTAAATAATTCAAAAAGTACTGTACCTTGCAGTGCTCAGATTAAGGGTAGAGAGGAAGACCACTGAGGTAGAACAGTATGCTCTTTTGAAGTAGTGTCAAAAATTGATTTTCACATGCAGTGCTAGGTGTGGCCCTTGTATCATCATCGCTGACAAAAAATAATGCAACAGAATAAGATCCCAAGCAGTTAACGTGCTRGATGGTAGCAGGGTATGCTAATGTGTTTTTGTCTATAATTTTTAATTGATGTGTTGCACCTATTTGTGGTTAAACTAGATACTGAAATTGGTTAGTGTATCTTTGTATTGTAACTTCCATTGTGTTGTAATTTTCTTACAGGCCTTGCTGTTTTAAATCACCTTTTAAGGACAGAACTTTAAGCAATCCTTTATTTCAAAAATGGAAAGATATCAGTATGGATAATGTAATAGAACTAGTCCTAAATGTGGATTAAAAAACCTTTTCCATAAAATCTCAGCATTACTTATTAACTTCTCTGCAGAAGCTAGCTCTGTGATAATGGCAGATGTTGTGCAGGTAAGGGAGTTTCATTGCTTAGTTCTGTGCCATCCAGATGGTATAAACTTTTAAAATTAATTGAAAAATTCATCTTTTACTTGTATTCAAGGACTGAGGCRCAAAATGCTAATGTAAGGGCTCAGAGGGGAAATACAGTTCTCCTGCATATTTGAGAAAATGTGAAGCCCTTTCAAGAAAATCTAATAAACATAATAATCGCAGGCTGCTGACACTAAGGAAAAAGCATCTCATTCACTATTTCTTTTATGCRGCGATTTACTGGTCCCTACTGATTTTCAAATTGGATCACTGCAGTAAATTATCCCTACCAGTACCTGTGAGAGAAAGCACTGGGATCCATATTTGTTCAGTGCTGTGCTTAAATCAGCAAGAATGATAAATTTGATGATATGAAATTGGAAATATCAAGGGCTTCTCTCAGTGAATGAGCAAGTATCTCCATTTGTAACTTATTGTGACCCTTTTTCACTGTATGTGCTTTGTATGTCAAATATTTATTTTGAAACAAATTAAATAGTTTTCTCTATTGATACCTATCGTTTTGTTGCTGTTCTTGAAATCAAATTGTATGTATTTTTCTGGATTTTAAATATTACCAGTGTGTGTTGCAAAACAGCAGTTATTTAAGTTCAGATCTCTGAGTGAGTTTGAGTTACTGACCAACAGCTTTGTGTTAAATGTTCCARATGCATGTTGGGTGGTTTTTTGTGTATGTGTTTAGAACAGTGCAGGATGCAGTGAGCTACTGCAGCACCCCATTTATGTTTTTTAGAGAAGCAGGAAGATTAAGGTGTATATCAAAGGCAAAAAAAAAAGCTGATCCCTATCTTTAATTCATTGGAAGTATTCTGCTTTATATCTGGCGTGGGTAATACCCAGTCCTGTGTAAAAAAATCTGCCTATGTGCCCTGTTTACTGCCATATTTTCAGTGCAGGTGTTAATAGAGAAAATTGTTCACCTGTGTTTTGGCAAGTCCTGTCCATTTAATTTTAAAATAGGGTACTTTGTGACTGTGGTTACATTCTACTACTTAAGTAGGTGCCACTACTGAATTKAACATGAGTCGTTGTTACTGCCTAATTACTTGGAATTTTTGTCAGGATGATAATTTGTTAGCATCTACTAAGCAAATTTGTGAACCAGTGTTTTTAATMATGTGACCCTATGTAACCCTCTTGTTGTGGGTTAGGCTAGGCTCATTTGTGATGACATATTTAGTAGCTGACCTCTGTTCAACCCAATTGCCAACCAGATGGGCTTTATTCTACCACACCAGGCTACCACCATACAACTGGGGTTCTGTAAAAGCAGTAGCGTGGGTTGTACTTTCAAGAGCCATGGAAGACTTTGTTCTTACTTTAAGTTACTTTGAATTCATCTCTATCACAGCCTCCATGTGTCTGACCATGAAAACTTGCCTGTGAAGTGTTACAAGTCCAGACTCTTGCCTGGCATGAGGAAACTGCTTTCCTTGAACAATTGCAAATCATGATATTTTCATTTGCTGTATKTGTTCCTGTGAATATTTACTCATGTTCTTTTGCCAGTGTTAAAAGCAGGAGTATGTTAGATGAAGATGATGCACTAGTTAGTTGAGATATTTCACAGGAAAACTAAGCTGAAAATGAGAAATTATAAAAGGTGCAGGACTAGATTATCTGCAGGGATTAAAGCAAAATCAGCTATAATTTTCATAAAGATAGAAATACAATAGAAAAGRAAGGAAGAAGAATGGGGAGAAAAATAATGAGAACACAGAAAATCACAGAATCATAGAGTGTGCTGAATTGGAAGGGTCTGATCAGGATCAGCAAGTCCAACTCGTGGCCTTTCAAGGACATTCCAAGAGTCACATCAGCTCTGTGGTAAAAAAGTGTGTGGAAATCCTGCTGGGTACTCTGTTGCTTTCAGAAACCCCAGTTCACCATTCATGGTTTCATGCCACCAGTATCCTCTGAATAGTACTTAAGTTTTCAAGCTGTAAATTAGATAGAATTTATTCTTCATTAAAATACTGCTGAAATAGCCACATTGTACATGAGCTGACAGCCTAATCTTGGTTTAAAGTGGAGAACAGCAGCAGAATTATGTGTTTTATCCTATTATGTTTGAAACTTCTGTAGTGAAAAAGCTCTGGGTTTCTTGGCCTTGTTCTTTTTTTTTTTGGGGGGGGGTTTTNTTTTTTTTGTTTTTGTTGTTGTTCCCTTTTCATGTTGCTCTGCAGTGTTTTTTTCTTGGCAATCTGGGGGAAGACTTTGTATGTGCAGCTCATTAGGTTTTSTCCTGACATATGTTTGCGCAGAACATTATATTTGTAACTTAGTATTTTAGTATTTTTTATTTAATTTTTTTAATCTAGAAAATCTGACCAAACAGATGTCTGCATATTACAATCCCTTTCAACATATTTCCTGCTGTAACAACTTCAGTTAGGTTCCGACTAAAGCACAGCAGAAATAATTGTGAATCCTTTCAGTGACAAAGTTTAAATCAAAGCCATTAATGAAAGGTTTTCTGTAATGGCAGATGGAAATCTAAGGTTGACTTTCTGAATTTTGATCTGTCTACTTTTCAGTTGTGTTACTGTATAATACAAAGAAATATTGAAGCTTTAAAAAACTACAGGTACAGCAAAAAGCATCGAGTTCAGCATGTGTGTGTTTGAGCATCCAGTGGTTCTATTCACATTTCTAATTATCTCAWTTTTTTTAACATCACTCTGAGGCARAGGTAAAACATTCAGTTGTATCAATGTGTATGTACTGAATGGATCATGTGTATGTATACTTGCAGCAGTTGATAAATGACTAAATAAAATGTAATATTTTGAGGGGGTTTTTTTCCGATTTGGAAATGTTGATACCCTTTACACTTAATGATGAAAACAGCCTCTTCCTGTCCTTCTCTCTTTGCAGARTGTTCCACATTTGTTAAGGAAATAGTTGTTAAAGAAGATTCTTGTACTGCAAAGGTGCTTCTAATATGCTGCCTCTATGTACTTCGTATGCATACTAATTGAGCTTATTTCACATTTCTTGTAATTTTTCTTACAAGCAAAAGAATCAAACTGCTTTTAAGCTGTTTCTGGCATAGTTCATATAAGAAATTACAGGACAAATGGAGTAGCAAGAGACTGGACTTGATGATGGAAGAAACTTCCTCCACTCCTTGTTCCTATGCATGTCTGCATATTACTGTAGAGAATGAGTAGTTGTTTCAGTATTTTATACATTATGTACCTAGTATTGTTTTTAAGAATTTTAAACTAGTCATGCTTTTGGATGAAGGTAAGTGCAGCTAACCTTAAGAGTTCCTTTTCCTTACTCAGAGGCTGGAAATGTTGCTTGATGATATGATTTATCCATTTGAAATGAAATGGAATTCTTCCTTCATGTGCTAATTTTATTCCAAACCACTGACCTCTAGTGGCTGGTTTGCAACTATGAAGCTGCAAATTTTAGTAATGTGCTCCTTCTGTGTCTTTGGCTACTGGAAAGTAATTTTCCATTAAAATTTCTCTGCAGAATAATGCCTCTTCATGATTTATTGTCGTTTGGCAGTCAGGAACSGTTTGTTGAGCACTGCTGCCCCCAGTTCAAGAAACTGCAGATGACTGCTGATGTTCAGGTGAATGAGCTGCATGTGAATAACTGAGAACACTTATCCATGTGCTGGAAATTAAAATATTTACTTTTAGTTTATGCAGATCTTTGACCCAATGACCATGAAATAGCTTTACAGACATGTGTGACTCAGAGTGGTGTTATGCAAGCTTCTGTAGATTCACCATTCTGTGCYGCAGAAGAGTCGTTCCCCTCATACAACTGCCTGCCACAAACTATTGTCTCATTTTCTGTGAATTTAGATGTTTTGCCAGAACAACCTAAAGGCTGTTTGGGATCACTGGACACTTTATTGTATTTGCAKTGTATTGAATTTGTATTCATACTTTTTTGGAACTATTGGTATGTAACTGCTTTCTGGTAACTGTGTCTGTGTAGGATCATAAAGAGTACAAAAATCAAAAGTCTTTCTCTTTACTGTTTTTTTYCCCTTGCTGTACTGTATGAGAGACCCACAAGGCAGGATAAGTTGGGAATCCYGAAGAGTAATTTAAACCATATTAAGTCATTACCATCAGATCTTGCTGTGGATCTGGGAACATTGCAAGTCTTTCTCCACTGTASAAACTTGAAATATTTAATGAATTTCAGATTCTAAAAAATTCAAATTGAATTTATATTAGTTTTTCATACAAGGAACACTAAAGTCMTTTACTTCTTATTAACCTTTACATGTTACAGATTTCTTGCTAGGCAGTAATATTGGAGAATTTAATCATGATGGACTGTTGTAGCTTGAGTAATACAGTCTGTTATTGAGTTATTTTAAATAAATAGGAATGAGGAAAAGGGTTTTCCAAAGGTCTGTATTTCAATACAGTCATCTGTCTTTCTTGATCTGCAAGCACTTTTATGTAAACTTTTCATGTGTCCCCATAAAACAGGTTCTAAATCTTAAAAGGTTGTAACCACAGTCCCTGTTCTTCCTGAAGACCTGGTAAGGCAACTTAACCTTATAGTTTTTTGTAGGCAAGGTAATATGCTGTTTAAAAAAGGGTTCTAGAGTTTTTGCAAAAGGAGGCCCGAAGAAATTACTCTGATATGGAAGCAAGACTCCCTCCTCTTCTAAGCAATATACCAAGATCTTCACATAATTGGTATATGAGTAACCTCTATCCCTTAGACAGCGAGATGTTCAGATGGAACAAAACTCCATGTACAAGTATGGTATATAGAAACAATATTTTTTTATCAGTTTAGCATTTAGCAACTTGAATGTGAATGAGACTTTAATTTTTTTTTACTAGCTTGGTTTTAAGAAATACAGGTTTAAAATAGCCATTGAATAGCCATCATTCAAAATTTAACCTTCGGATGCAATTCTGGCTATATTGAATAAAACAAGATCTCACCAATTTGCTGTATATAGTACTCTTTGCCACAGGGAAAAAAGTTGTTCAATGTCGTTTGGGTATCCTGAATACTGTATAACTTAGGATGTTTCTTTATTCATTGCTAATGATTGAGAACTAATGGTTGAGATGCTCATAAATAAGGTTGRTATTTTTTTCTTAGGATGCTGCAGCTGTATGCTATCCATCAGTTTTCAGTGTCTGCCAATATGCAGAACAGCTGATGTGTAAATCCTGGTTGGCCACCACACTTARTGTCTATTAATCTGTCTATAGTATTCCAGTTTTATTGTTTTCCTTCCTGTTTTCATCCTGTTTCATCAGACAAAAAAAATGCAGTTATTCAGATGGATAAAACAATATGAAATAGTAGTTCCATTTGGTTTTAGAGAAGAAATTATAAACCCAAACTTAGCATCTCTTCAAAGGTATAGCAATGACTCTTCAGGAATTACAAATGTTTCAAGAACTTCTATATGCTTTCAAACATCTTTATGTAAGGAAAAAATAAGGAGCTCTTAACCTCCTATTTCTTTTTGTTTTTTACTCTTACGCTCTTGCCAAAATAACAGGCAGCCAGCAAAACATATCAGCTGTATGTTAGACTCCAACTAAAATTGGTGAATTGACCTCACCTGTGCTACTTTACAACTGGCAGTCAATTTAGTATTTAACTCCAGTGCTGTACATCTGTTACTTAATGATACAGCGTCTGTTGCAATACTTCTGATTTATTTGGTATGGCTGCAGTTATACTACTGGGAAGATGAGTGTTAATTATTTTGTGGAAGTGTTTTACTTCAATCTGCCTCCCCTGGGCTGCTAGGAAAACTTGTATTGGCAATGTGACTCACTAAGTGGCTGGTAAAAATGTGCCAGCAAACTTCGTTCAAAATCTAATTGTATATATTAAAGATAGGCACTGTAATAACTCTCCTCAGTGATCAAATGCTTTGTGGATTATCAGGTACATTAATTATCCAAATTCCCTGTCATACTAACTTCTGGTGAGTTCCCAGTGTGCAAATGAAGACAAGGAAGCCCGAGATATTTTCTCAATTATGTAAACTAATATCAAAGCTATTCTGGAAAAATCTTTTATGAAAAAGTGTATTGCAGTGCCAGTGGGACTGGCTATGGGCATGGTCCCGAGCCAGGCTGTAGGTCAGCAGAGCAGGTGTCACAGCTGGGCACAGACAGCCCTTAAAACCCTGGAGCACAGGATCAGCCACATGGCACTCTGGAGAAAGACATATTTTTAAATCTTACTTTATCAGCATCCTGMAAGTGCATTTTAGCGGCTGGCTTAGGCTAGGGGGAGTACATTTTCATATAGAAATCAGGCAAACAGATTTAGTGTATGTGCATTAATGTTATCTATGTCCAGGGAAAGGCAACGAAACTAGTGAAGGGGTCTGGACCACAAGTCTTTGTGGGGAGTAGCTGAGGGAGCTGGGGGTGTTTRTCTTGGAGAAAAGGAGGCTCAGGGAAGACCTTATCACTCTCCACCACTGCCTGAAAGAAGGCTGGAGCCAGGTGGGGGTCGGCGTCTTCCCTCAGGTAACAAGTGACAGGATGAGAAGGCATAGTCTGAAGCTGCGCCAGGGGAAGCACAGATTGGACATCAGGAGGAATTTCTTCAYAGAAGGGGTCATTAGACTTTGGAACGGCCTGTCCAGAAGTGGTAGAGTCGCCGTCCCTGGAGGTGCTTAACGAAAGTCTGGACGYGGCACTAGGTGCCGTGGTCTAGTTGAGAAGGTGGAGTTCGGTAATAGGCTGGACTCGGTCATCTCGGAGGTCTTTTCTGTGACCCTATAAAAAAAATTACGTGCTTTTACTTGTGCTAACAAATTTACCACCCGTACTTTTATTACACGCACCCGTATGTATTAACCCTGCGCCAGGCGCAGTAAGAGAGCAGGAGCTGCTCCCGAGCAGGGGCAGGCACGGCAGCAGCGCGGACCAGCCCGGTTCCC